CACACACACACACACACACACACACACACACACACACACCCCACATCCTATAGGTTCTGTTTCTCTGAACCCTAATTAATATAACCCAAACCCCATTAGATTCATCCGTCAGTAACTACTCTCATCACCAGCTATATATAATCACCTTACAACTCACCCTCCCTTTACCTTATTTTTTTATAAAATGATACCTCAACAAATGAATCCTATAAAAACAAAAACAATCTCCTTAATCATACAGTTAGCATGGTTGATAAGGAATGGAAAATCTTTCAAAAGCTACAAGCCAAACTCAGGCAGCTGAGTGCCTTCCACAAACACATCTTTTTGTGGGGCTTCCACAGGTCTTCATGTACCTGAATTACAGAGAGCTAAACATCAGGAAAGTGAAATCCACCAAGTTCCGTTTCACCATAGTAGCTCACCTTCTTCTCTGTGGTTCCCACTCTCTTACAGTTCCCTTGTCAACACTTCAGTTCCCTGATTATTCTGCTGACTTGAATATGGTGTTGAGCTCCTCTAGCAAGTTTGGTATCTCACTTTTTGTATTTCTTCCACTCCAGAATTTCCATTTGGTTTTTCTATCATTTCTAACTCATTATTGAGATTCTCTTATTTGTTGAGTCATTGTTATCATGCTTTCCTTTAATTCTAGACACATGCTTCATTTAGGTCTTAGAACAAATTGATAGTAGCTGCTTTAAAATCCTCGCCCGAAAAATTTAACATTGGAGACAATCAGGGAGAGTTTCTATTACCTGTCTTTTTTTCTCAATATTTCACACCTTCCCGTTTCTTAGTACATGTCACAATTTTATGTTGAAAACTAAACATTTTATATAATATGGTATAACAACTCTGGAAATCAGTGTTCCTCCACAATGTGCAGTTACTAAGGCCTCTGCTCAGTTTTACTTGTCTTTAATTCTTGTTTTTATTTTAAAGCCTGGTCACCTGGGGGTTGCCTCTGTGTCTGTGTAGCTTAGTGGCTGGCCATTGATTCAACACAGAATTTGTCCAAATAAAGAAAATTTGTTGAGTAAGGCCTATCGTCCTTTTCAAAAGAATCTGTGTGGGGGGAGAGGGGCCATTCAACATTCAGAGCATTTTCAAGTCTCCCCAGATTTTGGTTTCCCCTGGACCCTCTCATGGCTCTTCAGCACACAGAGGTAACCTCAGCTAACCATGACTTTAGGCAAAAGGAGCCATGCCCTCACAACTCATATGCCTCCAAGACCATAACTCCATGGACAGTGCTTTTGGGTACAGCAACACCTGCCACTCCAAGTTGAATGAGTGCCTTCCAACCACAGCAGGGAAAGAGCTAGTCCTCATGACCTTCCCCACTCTTGAAGAATCAACCCAGTTGGAAACGGAATGCATGGAGTGTGATGGGAGCAGCTCCAGGCATGAATGCCATAGATTCCCACTGTTATTACTCAAAGTTGACCAGTTTCTCAAACATAAACACTTTTCAGACTGTTGTAAGCCATTGGTTGAGTTCCAGAGCACTGAAATGGTTGTTTTTGCTTGTTTTACAAACCTCCGTCATTCTAAGTGAACACAATACCAGACTGTGTTCCACTGCAATCGTTCTGTAACCTACTTCGCAGGTCCTTACTCTCCTACACGCACTGCAAAATTTTCCAGTCCTTTAGATCCAGCATATGCTGCACCTTCTTCGTGAGGCCTTCTCCTGTTAATCCATGCACACTGATCTCTACCTTCTCTGAATTCCTATTACACATCATTATCTCATCATTTTTTTCTGTGTGCTATACATTGTTTTTCCAGCTACATTCTTAAATCTTTGGGACACGGAATTGGGTTTTCATGCTTTTGTATCCTTATCCCATACCTGGCTGGCATAGTGTTGAGTACACAGTCAAGTTTGACCTACTTCAACCCCAAATTTTACACTTGTAACACAAGTAAGTCAAACCTTTTCCCTAGAAAGCCACAACCAAGACCCCAAGATCTAATGATGTTATATCATTAAACATACCCTCCTTCACTGTACTAGATCTAAAGGGCAACCTTATGAGCTGAAAGCATGTGACAGGGACTACTGGTTGCCAAGCCTAATATACATTTCAACCATCTTCCATTCTAACAAAACGATAATTATTCTCTGGCTTTCCTTGAAGGTAGGAAGGAGTTCAGGATGAAAATATACACTAACTGAAAATACAACACCCACCTTAACAGCATTAGGGAAAGTTCCCCCTCTGGAATAACAATATAAAGTTTTAATAGTGGTTCAAAGAATTTGTTAAATTTCCTTACCCAGAAGATCCAGTGCTCTTACAAACACCAAGCAGGGGACGTTTTTCAGCAAAGTTGTCACACTTTTGAGCACCTGATAAGGGACATAAAATAAAATGTAAAACAAAACTTTGAGAATTATTCTTATATATTTCCCGTTATTTTCATGCCCTCAAACTATTTACAGCTGAAGAGACGGCATAACATTCATTATAAATTGATATAATCTATACACTTGACTGAGCAAAAATTAGAAAGCCTATAAAAAAACCTATAACTATTTTTTAAAATTGAACCAGCACTTAAAATATCTTTCTATAAAAATTAGCATCATCAACTTCAATCTTGTACCCATCCCCATGACATCAGAAAAACCACCCCCAACTCCATCAACTAATTTCCTAGAACTAGTAGAATCTTGATGTCAAAACTAAATAAAGGTAGGACAGGAAAGTTATAAAACTACAGGCCATTGTCAATAGATGTAAATGTAAAAATCCTTTTAAAATTATCAGTAAACTGAATAGCAATGCATTAAACAAAAATAAAATCTTATAACCAAGGTGGATTTACCCAAGTAAGAGGAATAATTTTACATTACAAAACCTATTCATGTAATTCATCATATGAACATTTCGCAGATAGAGAAAAAAGCATTCAACTAAATTACATACCTAGTCATAACAACAAAATAAAACAATAAAAGTAAGTTTTTTTATGCCAATAATGAATATCTACAAAGACCTACTACAAACATCATTGGCAATGCTACAAAGCGTTCCCATTAAAATCAGTAACAACACAATGTAACTGCCCAATGTAACTGCTCCCATTCGACCCTATACCAGAAGGCTTAGGATAATAATAATAAATGAACTCAAAAAATTTACTGGATTTGAAACCAATATAATAGCAACAAGTGAAAAATACAGTGAGGAAATGCAAATTACTCTAAAAAAGTAAAAAAAAAGAAAAGCTCAACCTCACACATGAGCTAAATTCCACTTAAAACTATTGAAAAACTATATTGAAACTTGATAATTTTTT